TTTTTTTTTTTTTTTTTTTTTTTTTTTTTTAAAGCTGTAAGAGCATAATCTGTGTCCCTCATGAAGTCCTCCTGAAAAACACATTACCATTCCAAACCTTGTTTGTGTAAGTCTATCCAAAACCCTAAACCCTAAACCCTTAGCTATAGCTTTTTATTTTGCTTAAACATCAATCCACTGACTTCCACTTTCTCTCCCATTTCCTATCCCTATGGTAGTCCTATTTCCTGTGTCATTCCTTGGACCTCCAAGGACACCTCTGATCTGTCCTCCTTAAACCAATGAAAAATCAGTCTCTGTCCCTCTATGGTCGCAACTTTGCCACTGGCCAATACCTTATTCTGAAATTTCGTGAGAATAGCCTTCGCCTTTTCAGGGTTTATTGCTGCTTGTATTTTGATCCTCTGCCATTGAGCTCTAATATCTGTTTCCAATAGATTATAGAGTATGGTTCTGGCTTCCATCCTGGTCATCAGACTTTTGCCGATCACCCGTTGACATAATACTCCTCTGCTCTTGTTTCCCCCTTTTTTTGATTTTTTTTCTTCCCCAACTCAAAGGCGTCTTCGCACCCTGTAATCAATACTCTGCTGCATATCAACTTCACAATCTCTCTCTCTCTCTCTCTCTCTCTCTCTCTCTCTCTCTCTCTCTCTCTCTCTCTCTCTCTCTCTCTCTCTCTCTCTCACCTGGCAATCGCCCTGTACTGTGGCTTCGTTTTACTTTGCTGTCGTTAATTGTTGATCGCTTCGGCGTTCGACTACGATCATTGGCATCATTGTGTGCTAGCGTGTATCGTGACCAAGTTGGTCGGTTTTAAAAACTTTAAATAATCTTGTTTGTCCTCGGGGCTACTTATATCATAATAATATACTAATATGTCTTTTTTTTCCCTTTCTTTTCTTACAGTCCTTCCTGGATTTTGCATTTCTCTAGCTACACATGTGAACAAGAACATGAAGAAAAAAGGTTCTCCCCCCTGCCCTCTTCCCCCCCCCTCTACCCCCTTTTTTTTCCTTTTTTTGTGGTAATGTCGGAGGAGGCAAAGGGAAGGACGGTGGATGAAGCGTACCGGTTATAGGTTCTGTCACAAACGATGCATGATGATGCGAGTGGTATCGCGTATACAGCCAGTGATGGTGCAGCGCTCTGTGCGCCCAGTAGTAAATTGACTCCGTGGGGCCCATGTGAACCAGCAGCAAGATCAACAAGCCCCAGTTATGGGACAGTGGGAAGCTGTGGAAGCCTGGAAGAATCTCGTGAACTGCAGTTGAGACGAACAAGTGGAGGATAATGTAATCGTCCCTGCAGGATAAGCAAGCGCCCGCCCA